AGTCGCCTTTCACCTTGGAAGAATTACTTGTGGCCCTCAAGTCCGCACCGGTGGGCAAATGCTCTGGCCCTGACGACTTCACAGTAAAATTCTACAAACAGTTCAAGGACTCGCTTATCCCCTTCATGCTTCGGGTCTTTCAATCAGTCTCTCAGGGAGCACCATTCCCGAGGCAGGCCTTGAAAGCTTCCTTAATTCCTAAACCAGACAAGGATCATTCTTTATGCACAAATTATAGGCCTATCTCTTTGATTAATACCGATGTGAAACTGTTTGCCAAATTGCTCGCTAACCGGCTGAAACCTCTCCTTCCGGGGGTAATCCATCCAGACCAAGTGGGGTTTGTTCAGGGCCGCGAGGCTCGGAACAACACTATCAGGACCTTGTTACTGATGCACTATGCTCAAATTTCCCACACTCCTTTATGTCTTTTGTCCGTTGACGCTGATAAAGCGTTTGAACGTCTGGACTGGACTTTCCTCAGACACACTTTATCACAGCTGGGTCTGCTATCCCGCATGTTCAGCAGCATTATGGCCCTTTATTCCCACCCATCGGCCCGGGTTCGTATCAATGGCTCACTCTCCCCTAGTTTTCACATCGCTAATGGCACCCGTCAGGGATGCCCGTTGTCCCCCCTCCTTTATGTACTCACTATGGAACACTTGGCAGTTGCTCTCCGTCAGAACTCTGTGTCCCAGGGCATACTCATAGATCTAAGCTTGCTTTGTTCGCTGACGACCTGCTACTCTATGTTACCCAGCCCCATGTCGCTATGCCCACTATTCTGCAGGAATTCAGGAAGTTTGGAGCTCTGAGCCATTTTCGAGTCAACATTTCTAAATCAGAGATCCTCAATGTTTCTTAATGTGCCCCACCTCCTTGAAATACTTGGGAATCCACCTGCCCAAGAACCTGGCTGACCTCTACACCCTGAACTTCCGCCCCCTGCTGGCGGGAGTGACTAGAGACCTGGCTTCGTACGAACGTAAGTTCCAATCCTGGCTGGGACTAATTAATGTGCTCAAAATGGTCATTGTCCCTAAGTTCTTGTATCTTTTCCAGATGGGACGCTACCCATTGCCCTCCCTACAGTGTACCTGAGACAAATTCAACAGACCATCACAAGCTTTATTTCGGGATCCTCTCGCCCTCGGCTCGGCTCGGCTATAAAACACTGGCCCTGCCGAAATGCAGAGGGGGTGCTAGCGCCGCGGTTATCTTCCTCTACTAGGCTTCGGCGGTGTTGGTCCGCATAGTAGACTGGTTCTACCGAGCCGGGGACAGACCATTTGGAGGGATCTCTCTTACGTCGGCCGATTTATTGGCTCTACCCTGGATACAGCCTGGCTCCAGGCCCCTACTCACTGCTCTCCCTCACTTGACCTCTCACACTCTGAAGATATGGGATTGGTATGTCACTCTCCTAGGTGTTTCATCCTACTTGGGCCCAATGACTCCTCTCTTTGATAACCCGGCTTTCCCTCCAGCGCTATCTGGACCTTCCCAGGGTCGATGGAATAGAGTCGCACACCGGCGCCTGGCCTCGGCATTGAGAGCTCAGCCTCCGGACTCGGCTACTTCTGTAGGTGCGTTCGTGGCACCTGGTTAGCGGAGCGGCAGTTCCGATCCCTCATCATCTCCTTCCCCACGCCAGATTGCTTCCTGACGGACCCCCACCGCCTTTGACTCCCTACTCCTGGTCTCATCACCCCGACACACATAGTCTCCCTCATCTACTCCATCCTCTCCACCATGACTTCCCCTGGTCTGCCAGCCTACACCTTGGTGTGGGAGAGGGAGCTGGGGAGGTTGAATGGGAACGTTCATTCACGCTCACATACTCTCTCTCTATCGCCAGTAAAGCCCACGAGAAGAACTTGAAAATCTCGACTAGGTAGTATAGCAGCCCAGCAGTTCTCCACCGCATATACCCTGCCACCCCCGACTCTTGTTGGCGCTGTAATTTGTCTCTGGGTCACATGACTCACATCTGGTGGAGCTGTCCCCTGCTTCAGGAGTTCTGGCAAGGGGTGTTGGGGATCTATCTCAGAGTGACAGGAATTAGAATTGCTAACGACCCTAAGATCCTGCTGCTTTCGATGCTCCCTGGGTCTATGAAATCCGCGAAAAGGGGCCTCCTGCGACACTTTCTTATAGCTGCCCGGATGGTCATCCCATGTCATTGGCGCACGCCGGTGGTACCCACCCTGGCTGAGTGGGCGGTGGAGATGGACCACATAGCAGACCTGGAGAGTCTTCTGTCTGAGGAGCATAAAGCTGGCGAAGCCTATGTGCACACCTGGTCTCTCTGGTACACCTTTAGGGGATCGACTGCCTTCGTAGAGGCAATCTCCTCTTGATCTACTGGCCTACTGCGATGGGAGGGTCTCATGACAGGGGTAGGGTCTTCCTTGGTACTATCCTTCTACGCCTTTACTACCCCCTTTTCTCCTTTCTTATCTCTTTCCTGGCTCGTCTATTCCCCTGAAATCCCCTGCTTTTTCTCTACTCTGGATCTCTCCACTTGAAGTGGATCTTCCCCAGGCTGACTTCTGATTTCTGTGTAAACCCACCTCCTGTGCCCTGCCCAACGCTAGCCACCTAACTCGAGGTGACTCGCTCTGGTGACAACCTAAGCTGATGGTCCCTCGTCCCTACCCCTAGAGCACTTATGAGGTGGGGTCTGCAATTAGTAGCTGGTTAGTAGGCCTGATATGAATCTTCAACGCCACCTAGGTAGCCAGCATATACATCACCCGATTATTAATATGTGACATATGCTCAGTTTTTGTGCCAGGGTATGCAATTGGCTGTGATGTTCCTTCCATGTTGTACTCTGCTGCGGATTTCCTGTTCCCTACCCCCGTTTTTTCCATATTGTTACTTCCCGACGGTTATTACCAACATGTACGACTGTTTTCTTTGACTCATTTTCTCTGATTTCTATTGAAGTTTATAAAGCTAATAAAACTCAGATTGCACTAAAAATGATCTTTACAAAAAAAAAACAAGCAGGGTGGAAGGTTGCCCCGTGTAAGAAGAGATTTGGCCAAGAGGCAAACGAACCAGGTCAGCATACCACATCCTGCTTTCATTTGGAGTGTTGAAAATGACTGTAAGTCCTCATGTTCTATTCTGCAAAGAACGGCATACAGAAAGGCATACAGTACATCAAGTTGTACTGATCCCACAGAGCTACCAAGGCATCTGCTGCATCCGCCATTAGATCCCTTGCTCTGGATATAAATCTGTCCACCTTCTTGTTGTGGCAAGATCCATATCCAGGATTTCCCAGCACTGACAAAGCTGTTAAAACACCTTTGTTCTCCTGGAGCCAGCAGCATAACCCTGCTTCTCAGAATTGTTCAGAGCTGCGTCAGTTCAATGGACAATAGAGAAATGAGGGCTGCCTTTGCTGGTCTTCTAAAAAGACCATTTGTCTGGCTTTATAGAGTCAGAATTCCTTATCTCTGTACTTGTTCCAGGACACCAATTCAGGAAATATTGAAGCCCAAGCATCGGCATGCAGCTAGGCTACTAGCATAAATACAGAAAGGTGAGCAATGGCAGTCTACATACTTCCTTAAAGACAAGTTTCCTTTAATGTTACAATAGGTGTGCATTAAAGTGAAATTAAAGATTTCAGTAAACAGTCTTTGGTGTCTGCAAACACAGGCACACTATAGACAAGATTTAAAACCTAAGCATCAAGGTGGAGCTCTAGCAGGCCAGCATCTCAAACTGTATTGTTGTTGCCTCAGTGGACAACAGTTGGGCACCTAAATTGCACTGGCGAATGCTTGTGGGTTTGTCAGAGTTCTGACCTTACTATTTTCCAGGGCAGTTAAAGGAGAACTATGAGCTGAGTGAAAATCACTCATCCTCATAGTTCGAGCCGACGTGTGACATGAAACTGTCACACGCCGGCTCAATAGAATCGGAAGTAAACTAACGCATACCGTCGCTCGCTCACTTCTCGATCATCTCCCTGGAGAGAGCAGCGACTGTCAGACACCGATCCCCGCAAGGATCCCCGCTCCCCCCCGCTCCCCCCCGCTCCGATCCTCCAGCGCTGACTGGAGGGAACTGAGCAGAGCCTGTTGTCACTCACGCAGCTGGATGGATCCCGACAGCATTGTCGCGATATACTGAGTTTTGGGTCACGAGAGGACGCTAGTATATGTCCTCCCGTGACCCTTAAGAGAACTATGGGGAAAAACACTTACCCCATAGTTCTCTTTTAAGCATTTAGCTGACTGACTGGACAATGAAGAAACAGCAGAATACTGCTGAAGTCATCACTCTGTGCTCTGCGAAAGTACCCAGCATTAGAATAGCACAATGGAGTGGCATAGTGCCTGACTGGCTAATTTTGGCTTCCCCCGACCCTTTCAAGTATATTTGTATTGTGAAGTCTCACTTCAAAGAAAGAACTGCAAGGACACTTCCCAACCTGTGGTTTACATGCTTTGTGCCCATTTTTATGCTTTAGCAAACAGATGTACATCAAGTGTTCCTTACAAGGGTTTCCAGCAATAAATCAGTACAAACAGAAAAATACTCAGCCTCCTGGCTTTCTTTGGTCCACTCGGACCCTCAGGATGTCTTCGCACAGACTTACACTTTATCTCATAACTGCCTGGTCAGTGACAGACTGTCTGTATGTTATAGTATGTATAAAAAATGATTTTAATGTATGGCAGAAATTGAGCTACTTTTGCATGCATGCAATACTTTTTGCAGATCGCAATTGGATTGGAACACAGCCGCTAATGTGCCACGCGTTTGGGTGCCGGCGATCACACTGCAGTCTGGGGGCGCGTGGCTGCGGTGCCATTGACTTCAATGCACCGACACGCCCCCTCCTGCCCCAAAACAAAGTGAGCCGGCCTGGGTTGCGTTCCAGAGGCCGAACGCTCTGGAACGCACTCTTAATGGTGTAACTGGGCCCTAAGTGCTCTTTACATAATAATTAATGATAATCATTACTAACTTACCTCTCTATATATTTCAGAACCAATTCTCTGCAGTTTTGCTGGGGCGGCTGCTCTCAGGGTCTCCAGAGCAACTCCCGTGAGGCCAGCTTTCTTCTTCTTCTGCAGAGCGATGTATAACTGGTAGAGAAGTCTAGTAGCAGCTCCATGTTGCTCTGACATGATATTCTGGGCCACATTCTGGTCAAATGGAATGCCTAATAGTTTCAAGGTGGGCTCCACTCGGGTAAAGTTGTTCAGCTTGCTATTTGCTGCTCTGTAGTGAACAAGGTGAAAAATGCAGATTAATACCCGTGTACCTTTGTAGATACTTTAAACAATGAATTTAAGAACAGGATAGTGCTAAGAAGAAGTGATGCACATGGAACTGATCTACAAAAATTTACAGCTCAGAAAACTGGAGCAAAAGTTAAGACGTTACCCATACCCATGTTATCACCAACTGCTCCAGTTTTATTTGCTGCAGGTTTTCTATAACATGATCTATGAAAAAAGGACATGAACACATTGAAAATCTGGCATGTCCTAAAAAAGGCCAAGGGTAAAAATACTGCTAAATTGCAGGTGCCTTAAAATGCCTGCCAATTCCTATGCCCCCATGGAACCCAACTGCAGCAACAAATGTTATTTAGCTTCTGGTAGAGTAGGAAAGGATTGCAACCTTGGTCAGGTTTTAACTGCTGTCAGTGCACCCACTGGGGAGATTTTCCCTCCCGTCCTAGGCATCAGGGTATAGCAGAGTGTCATCAAGAGATTAAGTGAGGGAATTCTCTCCAATGGAAACACAGACAGTAATTAGGGGTCTACCCCTTCTGTATATAAGCCTTGTACCAATGTTTATTATATTTGCTAGAAAATAATAACTGGCTGCAGACTTTTTTGGACCAGAACTCGAAAATTAAAGAATTGCTTTATTTTATGAAACATAGATGTTAGTTGTGCCTAAGCAGTATCCTAAAAAAATCTTCAATCACTCTTGAAAAATCGCAGTGGACTTCATGTGCCTAGGCACTCCTGTGCCTTGAGCCTTGTATCTGTGTATCAGCAGTGTTAGAAAACCTAAGGCACTGCTACCTCTGACTGCTTATCTCAGTAGATTGGGTGATGTCATTACTGTGCTGCTCACTGTTCTCCTTACTGGAGAGCAAACCGTACCTGAGGACCTGCAGTGCAAGGATCTCCTTGCTTTGGATTCCTGCGTTTTGTGGATCTATGCTGTTGCCATCTCTCCTGCGGCTTCTTTAACATTGTCTTACCAGTCATCCAATCACCAGTCATCGGGGGAGCAGCTCTGATATGAGGAAGCAAAGCACTGCTCTTGTAGCAAAATGGCTGCCTCTACACAGAGACACAGTGCAGAATAAGGCTTTGCAAGTCAGTCATGTGGAAAAGAAAAGCAGCAGGGTGCCTACAGACAATATTAATGAATTGTCCTTGGTCCCCCCCAATCCATTAATTAGAAGTAGGGATGCACCGATACCAAGTACCGTACTCGGTACAAGTACAAAACTAGACTAGAGAAAAATTCAAAAGTTAGAAGGCAGCTGTAATTTGTAAGGACCACACGGAGCTCTTGGGATTTGTACATCTCTGTTTTAATGTATGATTTTGTTTTTATAAATATAAATAAAGGGATGCACCGATACCAGTTTTGCAAGTACAAGTACTGATACTTTTTTGTTTATTGTCATGTGACAGTTTTTCTAATACGATAAATACTAATGATTTCAGGACAGTGGTGGAGCGCCAGAGCCAGGTCCCAGCTGCAACCACTGCAAACCTGGTAGTTCTCATGAAAATGCCAAATATCGGCACTGGTATCTGAAAAGTATCGGTGCATCCCTAATTAGAAGAATAAAAACCCTGATTGGCCAGAAAGCCGGCTCCATGCTTACTCGTCACATAGTCTTAATGGGACATTCGGTATCGACGAGTACCGGAAAAAAAATATCGGTACTCGTACTCGATACTGAAATACCGGTATCGGTGCATCCGTAATAAGAAGATACTCTTAGTTTCCTGCACACAGAATACAGAACACACCTGCTTTGTGAAAACTGGTCAAAGTCTTCTTGTAACTGATATTTGTGTAACACTTCCCCAATGAGATATCCTGTGGCAAACTCCTTGGCCAAACCCTTAGGATCTAGAAACAAAAATAAATTAAAGGTCAATTCAACAGAATAGGTATTGTGCTAAACTCAAAAAGTTCCAGCCAGTTATCTTATTCTAGGTAACCCACCACATCTAGACTTCACACTCACTGTATGCTTCCCAATACAATTCAATTGTAAGGAGAGGGTATTATTAAAATTGAAATAGTAGTGAAAAAATCATGTTTAAATAACGAGAGAAAAACTTGGTAAAAAAAAAAAAAAATGCCGGATTTTGTAAGCCCATTCACACTTTTAAGATGAAATGACACTAAACTCAGGAGTTAAAGAATAAAAATGTATTCAAGTACCTTAAAAGAGAACTGCGGGGTAACCTTTTTATCTCATAGTTCTCTTTAGGGTCACGGGAGAACATATACTAACGTCCTCCTGTGACCCACAGCTCAGTATATAGTGGGCTATAGCTCGCTATACACTGAGAGCGCCGCAGCCGGGACGGATCCGGACAATACTGTTGAGATCCACCCACCTGGCTGATTGACAGGCAGTGCCAGCTGTGCCCGCCCCCTTCCCGTCCGTTCCTCCAGTCAGCGCTGGAGGATCGCAGAAGGGAGAATCCCTGCGTGGAGCGGTGACTGACAGTCAAAGCTCTCCGCAGGGAGATGATCAGGAAGTGAGCGGGCGACGATATGTGTTCGCCCACTTCCCGATTTATAGAGCCGACATGTGACAGTTTCATTGTCACACATCAGATCTAACCATGAGGATGAGTGATCCTTAAATCATCTCTGAATTGGTGCTGACACTGTCCTTCCTTCTGGAGGGTGGCTGTTCCCCATGGTCCCTGTGTGTGTTGTAAAGTAGTCACCACTATTTGATACACAAATAAGATACATTTTGTTAATAGTTAAAGGTACTTGAACGCATTTTTTAAGTTTCATTCCTGAGTTAAGTGTCACTTTAAGTGTGAATTGGCCCTGAACCTGCATGTATTTTCCCACTGTGACTGCCCCATATGGGTCTGTTGCTGCTGTATAGGGTTATGTCACTGTAGAACCAAAAAAACAGAGCACCATTTCCGCCTAGCATTGAGAGCAGAGCATAAACAGTGCAAGCATGCGGAGAGCAAGTCTACAGGGACACAAATGTTTGTTCTCCTTCGCAACTCCCTCTTGTTTGTTAGCTGCAGGAGAATCAGATCATTGCTGAGTGCGTTCCAATATCACCTTCAGGACTAGGAAGGTTCATCAGAAACCAGACCATCTTCAGAAGACAACTTGCTGCAGACACAGGGAAGAACATACTGAATTTCATCAAACGGTCATCACAATAATACTTTTTTAGCTTTGACACACTCAGTATTCTGTGTCTCAGCGAATGGCTTCTGACGAGACAAGGGTAAGGTGCCCATACACCTTACAACCATCGCAATACATTTGTCTTGCGATGGTTGTAAGCTAATTAAAAGCTTGTATGATCTGCCCATCTAGGACAGGCAGATCGTACTTGCGATTATCGCAAGCCCGCCCCGCCGATGACCGCAATGCTGAAGGTGGTAGACTGGCAGCAACGCACAATGCAGTAGAGCCTGACGGACTCACACTGTTGAGCCACCCTTCCAGAGTCTGAGCCTGGCTGTCCAGAGACTTAAAAAGACAAAACAAAATAAAGACAAGTACTGGTACATATCCTAGTTATATATAACAATACATATTAAATAAACACATAACTGGATCAAATGACATCTACTTGGAGTTCAGCTTTAATCGCAGTTAGTAGTAATGAAGATCACCAGCACTCAAATGATAAGCATAAATCCTCGTGTTCATTTCTAGAAGAATCGTGTCACATGCGTCAGAGCCAGGCTCTGTAATGCATGAAACGCGATTCTTCCTCATTACTAACTGCGGATACAGACAGCGCCATCCGCGTACGTCACTGCAAGCACCATTGCTAATCTAAGCATATTTGGTCCCGATCGCTGTGAAGGTGCCCATACACCTGCCGATTATCGTACGATAATCACGGGAAATCCCGCGATCGTACGATAATTGGCAGGTGTATGGAAGGCGTGCGACCGTTTCTACTGTACGGTTTGCACGTCTTTTGTCTTACGAGCATGTTTGAAAAACCCGCCGAGAATCGTACGATTTTCGGCGGGTTTGTGGTTTGCTCGTAAGACAAATGCCGCACAGGCTGGTGTGCGCAAGCGCACATTGCCCGCTTAGCATTGCAGTCATCGGAAGTCATCGATGATCGCAAGTACGATCTGCCTGTCCAAGATGGGCAGATCGTACATATATTTAATTACCTTACAAAAGTCTTGCGATGGTTGTAAGGTGTATGGCCAGCTTAAGGAGTGCAGGAGATACTTCAGGTTACAGCTTTAATAACAATCAATCTTCTATCTATTCCACAATAACAGAGTTCCTATGCAATGCCTCTTATAATAATTGAGTCTTGCTCTTGTGTACAGGAAAGTCTCTTCCAGATACTCTCTGGGGATCCATTAGAGAAGCACACAAGGTCCACTAAGGTAAAACACCTCTGTAACTAAAGCAAAGGTACAGAGGCTGCCAAAAGTGGAGTGCCGTTCCCTGAACAAAATGTGTGTGTTTGTTTTGTGGCGGGATGTGAATTTTTCAAGTGTAAAAGGGAAAAGGTGATTGTGGCAGTCAGGTTTCTGAATGACCTATTGTGACCGGTGCTAAAAAACCTTAATCTAGAAATTCATCTCTTGCTATTAATATGCAAGAATTTGACTTTCTAAGGCCGTCCAAGGCAAAGATATGCATATATTGAATACATGTACTCACACTATATTTCCAAAAGTATTGGGACACCCCTCCAAATCATTGTCTTCAGGTCTTCCAATCACCTCCATGGCCATAGGTATATAAAATCACACACCTCGGCATGCAGACGCTTCTACAAACATTTGTGAAAGAATGGGTCGCTCTCTGGAGCTCAGTGAGTTCAAGCGTGGTACCGTGATAGGTTGCCACCCGTGCAATAAGTCCACCATGTGCAATGCAAAGCATCGGATGCAGTGGTGTAAAGCACGCCGCCACTGGACTCTAGAGAAGTGGAGACACGCCAACAATTTATGCAGCGCTTTACATACTCTTTATTCACATCAGTCCCTGCCCTGGGGAAGCTTATAAGCTAAGGTTCCTATCCCAGATGCATACATACAGGGCTGCTTTAGACAGGAGCCAATTAACCTTTCAGCATGTCTTTGGAGTGTGGGAGGAAACCGGAGTACCAGGATGAAACCCAAACAAGCACAAGGGGATCATGCAGACTTCATGTAGATACTGTCTTGACGGGGATTTAAACCGGGGGCACCCAGTGCTGTAAGGCATCCTAACCACTAAGCCAATGTGTCAATAAATAATGACCCCCCCCCTTTATAGGTTATTTCCCTTTCATTGTGTAATATGATGGTATTGGAGAAATTAGACCTAGATGGGCTATCGTAGGCAGCATTATATCTGCTTTCTATGGAATCATACAATTAGACCAACGTTTCTCAACCTTTCTTTAGTCATGTGCCCTTTTAGAAGTATGCAAAATCTCAAGGCACCCTGGTCTAAAATATAAAAAGCATAAATGTAAAATAACTATGTGTTGCCCCCTCCAAAATTCATACCAAACTTATCCAAGATAGGGGTCTGGTATGGGTTTTAAAGAGGGACCCCGTGCACAACAAAATTGGGGTTCCCACCTTCATATGGTTGGAAATGCAACAGAATACTGATTGTGTTGCTGACTGTAATTATGTCTTTTGAACACTAGATGGCATTGTAGTGCAATTTCAGTCTCTATGCTAATACATGTTTATCTATGATTTATGTTTCCTGATTGATGCTATCTTCCTGTATACATGTATGCAATGTTCCTATAAGCAAGTAAAACTTAAAAACAGCATTCTTCAAGATCTCAGTGCTTCATCTAAACACATAACCAACAGGTTATGGGCCCAAACACGGAACAGAATACTGCAAGTCAACAAGTGCTGCATGAAGTTTGCAATCACAAAGCTCAACAATACCAAATACCAGCTATGGAAGTTCAAGCTTGAAATGCTGCTAAGCAAAGGCGACTTGTGGCAAGTACTGAGTACAGACAGACCAATTAATGGACCCACTGAGGAATGGGACAAGAGAACAGGCAAGCAAAAGCAATTATAAGTCTGCTAGTAGAAGGTGACCAGCTTATCCACATCAGAAATGAAAATACAGTTAATGGTATGTGGACCGCATTACAAAAACGGCATGAGCGTTCAAACTTAAACAGTAAACTATATATGCTACGCAAGCTATAAAGGTGAGGCTAGAAAAAGGCCAGGAAATGTGTGAACATGTGAATGCCATGCTGGAAATCGTAGAACACCTATGTGCAATTGGAGAGGAAATTAAAGATAACCACGTGGTGCAGTGGCGTAACCAGAGTTATGGGCGCCCGGGGCAGAACATTTTTTTTTCGCCCCCCCCATATTATATAAACATCCACTAGAACTGTACCCCCCACCCCCACACATATATATCAGCTAAGGAACTACAAGTCCAAGTA